GGGGGGGTTTTGGGTTAAAGGGGGGGGGGGGGTTTTGGGGGGGGGGGGGGGGGGTTTGGGTTGGGTTTGGGGGGCCCCGGGGGGGGGGGCCGGGTTGGGGGGGGGGGGGGGGCCGGGGGGGGGGGCCCCCCCGGGGGGGGGGGTTTGGGGGGGGGGTTTTGGGGGGGGGTTTTTTTTGGGGGGGGGCCTGGGGGGGGGTTTTTTTGGGGGGGGGGGCCCCCGGGGGTTTGGGGTTTGGCCCTGGGGGCGGGGGCCGGGGAGGGGGGGTTTAAGGGGGGGGGGCCCCCTGGGGGGGGGGGGGGGTCAGGGGGGGGGGGGGGGGGGGTTTTTGGGGGGGAGGGATTCCGGGGGGGTTGGGGGGATGGTGGGGTTACCGGGGGGAAGGGGTTGGGGGGGAAAAAGGGCCCCCCCCGGGGGGGGCCCGGGAAAGGGGGGGAACCTTTGGGGGGGGTTGGGGGGGGGGGGGGTAATTTTAGGGAAAGGGGGGGGGTTGGGGGGGGGGGGGGGGGGGGGGAAAGGGGGGGGAACCGGGGGGTTTGGGTTTTTGGGGGGAAAATTGGGGGGGGGGGGAAAATTTTTAAGGGGGGGTTTTGGGGGGAAATTAAAAAGGGGGGGGCCTCCCCGGGGGGGGAAAAGGGGGGGAATTTGGGGGTTTTTCCGGGGGGTTTGGGGGGAGGGGCCGGTTTTTTTTGGGGGGGGGGGGGGGGGGGGGCAGGGGGGGGGGGGGTTGGGGGGGGGGGGCCGGGGGTTTGGGGGGGGGGGGGGGGGTTTTTTTTGGGGGGGGGGGAATTCCTTTTGGGGGGAACCGGGGGGGGGGGGGGGGGGGGCAGGTTGGGGGTTTTTTGGGGGGGGGGGAAAAGGGGGGGGGTTTTTTTTTGGGGGGTTTAAAGGGGGGGGTTTCCGGGGGGTGGGGGTTTTTAAATTGGGGGGGGAAAGGGGGGGGGGTTTTTTTTTTTGGGGGGAAAAAAGGGGGGGGGGGGGGTTTGGGGGGAAAGGGGGGGGGGGTTTGGGTTTGGGGGGGGGGTTTTTTTGGGGGGTTGGGTTTTTGGGTTGGGGGGTTTTTGGGGGGGGGGCCTTTGGGGGGGGGGGGAAAAAAAGGGGGGGGGGGGCCCCGGGGGGGGTTTTGGGGGGGGGTGGGGGGGGGGGTTTTTGGGGGGGGGGAGGTGGGGGGGGGGGGGGAAAATTTTTAAAGGGGGGGGGTTTTTTTTTTGGGGGGGGTCATGGTGTCAGGTGATAGCATGGGAGGGCAGGTCCTGGGTCATGGTGTCAGGTGATAGCATGGGAGGGCAGGTCCTGGGTCATGGTGTCAGGTGATAGCACGGGAGGGCAGGTCCTGGGTCATGGTGTCAGGTCGAGTAGTTTCATGTTATATTTGTTGGTCCTTGATCATGTGCGTGATGTATTTTGCTCTTATTTACGTTCCTTGTTTTGCTTCTGTCAGTGAGGTGGATGTGCTGAGGTTTTTCACGATATAAGAGTTGTGCTTTTTTTTTTTTAGTATTTTTCAGAGTTTAAAGTTTATTGATAATCATTATTATTTTATATATAATAAGAGGTATTTTAATGTTTCTCCTACTTACAATTATTCGTTGTATGATATGTCCAGAGTTGGCAAACTTTTATTAAGCAAGTTTTGCCTGGAAGAGAGTCTATATTATTTACAATAAAATGAGTGACGTAAGTGTTGGATTCAAAGACATCTGGAAGATCATTTTTCTCACCCACACCCTCCAGTCCTAGTCACGTTCCGACACTCAAAATATTGAACGTAACACAACACCACATGTGATCTGATCCTATCATTCACCTCATGTCTCTCACCTCCACCCACCTCAACATACCTTTCCCTCAACTACATGTAAAATCCCTAATTTCAAGACTATCCCCTAAAGCACCTGGTGCTTCTAGCCTTTTTCACCATGTCCTCCGACACCTTTCTGACTCTATCATTTCTGCTCATAATGACCACACCAGTGTTTGCTTTGCTTCCGGCTACTTCCCTTCCTTCAAGTGTGCAACTACCAAAGCGAGACAGAATTTAAAAATATTGGTGAGCATAAATGTTGAAGACTGAGATACATATGCAACATATGGGAATCTTTACTGAGGAAACCTTTCGCCACACAGTGGCTTCATCAGTCCAATACAAATCAGAAGGGTATAAGGAGAGGAGGAGTTTGAGGTTATCAATCCCTCAGCCTGGAGTTGATGTGTTCAGTCCATCAATTTTGTAGAAAGTACAGCATAGGGCTGTAGACGTGGCTTATATACTGTAGTCAGGTGAGTCGAAGCAGGAGGAGGCGGGGTCATAGTGGTACCATCCACTAGTCGAAGTAGGTCTTCGTCCAAAGGTTGGACAAGGTGGAAGAATTCTTTGTATCAAGATCCCATGATGTTACAGTGTCTGATTTGTATTGGACTGATGAAGCCACTGAGTGGCGAAACGTTTCCTCAGTAAAGATTCCTATATGTTGCATAAGTGTCTCAATCTTCAACTTGTCGGTTTTTTAAGCCATTTATCACAGCATAAACGTTATTCATTAAAGCCACGAGCTAGAGTTTTAAGGCAGCATAGTCAGAGATGTATACTCATGGAAGCAACACTCTTTTAGTCATTGTGATAATGTTGGTAGTATTACCGACAATATGTTAGGTAAAAGGTCACAGCTTTGTGAAGCCAAAACGGCTTGATAAAGTTCAAGGAGAGCGAAACGTTGCCACAATATAATGTCACATTACTTGCACTTGTGTCCTTTTAGCTAACTCTTTTAGTCAGTTGTTGAATTCGACTCTTTAACGAGGATTAAATTCCTTGACAATGTATTCCCCATAATTTAATCTTCAAAATTTGTTGTGGACAATGACGACCACCAGAGGAATAGCCATTTAAGGTGATCTCAAATTTAAGACACCAGTATCAGCCTCCTGAGGACATGCAGGGCGCCATCTTGGAGACTCTACAAGCATAAACAAATTACTTTACCTCCCAGTAGAGTAACCCTCTTTATTCAGTTTATACCTTAAGATCTTATTAGAGATAGGTAAAATAAATTGAACCTGGAGGTAATCTAGGCAGAACATCGCCCATCCTGTGGTAAGCCTAGAAACTTATTTGCAGACCACTTAATAAGCATACGATATTGAGGTATATTTATTTATGTGAACTGTAATAAAGATCGAAAATTGTTCAAGATCCTGTAGAACACCAGTTAAATCAATTTATATTAGGTTCTTCGTAATTGAATCATTACGCTGACCTAAGCAACCGTGACGTCACCAGTACATCAGAGGAGCTACATTTCTCATACTATATAATTCAAAGGCCACGTTGATGGCTGGGGATATATTGTGACGTGGTCAGTGTCTAGCACGAGCAGACTCTAAGTCAATTTAGGGCTCAGTATAAACAGATTACATTATTACTAATTAAGACAACCTTGGTGATTTATACTAAACTAATTACTGACTGAAATTATCCCATATAATGCTTAAATTAATTACATAAATTACAACAATATTAACAGTCTAGTAAAGGAAGAGAACATACTTTTACTTCTTTCTATGTACTTGATACACCATACTGTGAATGTAATGTATGTTAATGTGTACTTGATACACCATACTGTGAATGTAATATATGTTAATATGTACTTGATACACCATACTGTGAATGTAATGTATGTTAATATGTACTTGATACACCATACTGTGAATGTAATGTATGTTAATATGTACTTGATACACCATACTGTGAATGTAATATATGTTTTTGGTTAGATTTCAATGAGATTTTGAGAGTGGATTAAGTAGCATAAAAAAATGTATAGACTGTGTTTGTTTTGACTGTTAGCCTTCAAGTTAGATAGAAAAAAATTAATGTACATTTTTATGGGTCATAAAACATTCTTTTTCTACTAAATTGGGAAGATGTACAATGTTCTAGTTAACATCAGATGAAAGATAAAGGCGAGATTATTGTTAACACAGAATTTCAGTCATAATGGCATGATCCATGAAAAAAAAAAAATGTTGAATTTGTGATTTTTTTGTGGGAAAAAAAAACTTTAAGACAAAGCGTAAACAATACACAAAACCCCCCGAGTTTTGTAGAACCCTCATTCCTCAATAACTTGGCAAAAAAATACAGTCCCATTAATACTTTTCGCAAAAAAGGAAAACAATGTCATAACTTAATTTTCCGAGTTTTTTTTTTTGTTGAAACTCATGGTACGACAAACCACATCTCCGCGGTTTTCCTCCTTCCTTGAGCAAGAAAGGGTTTCAAAACGACAAGATAAAAGTTAAGATACATGGGCAACATCTGGGAATTTTTTTGTAGAGTTTCGCCCTCCAGTGGGTTTTAAACAATACAGATTTTAAACATAATTAGAAACAGTAGAACATATACAAAAGGAGGTAACATCCCTCCCTTGGGGTAAATGTGGAGACACCGTGGTAGTCAAAAATTCTGAAACTTTACTACCACAGATGGGGAAACATCTGCAAAAAGATAACCAATGTTGCCATGGGTTTTTAACTTTTATCTTTCCCTTTTTACAGCCCTGCAGGCTATACCAGACTCTGGCTACACCGACATACGCTACTCCCCGACATACTGACTTACTACAAACATACGGCTACTACCAGACATACGACACTACCGACATACTGGTACTACCAGACAAACGACACAAACCCGAATACTGGGTCTACCAAAATACTGGGTACACCCGACAACTGGCACTACCAGACATACTGGCTACTACCCAAAATACTGGCTACTCCAACATACTGGCTACACCCAAAATACTGACTACTACCAACATACTGGCTACTCAGACATACTGAATACACCAACAACTGGGCTACTAAAAGACATACTGGCTACTAAAAACATACTGACACTACCAACATACTGGCTACTACCAACATACTGGGTACTACCAACATATGGATTTTCTACAAGACTACTGGCTACACCAGACTACTGCTACTACCAGACATACTGGGACTACCAACAACGGTACTCCAGACATCTGACTATACCAGACATACTAACACACCAACATCTGAAAAACACCAGACAACTGGCTACTAAAAGACATACTGGGTACTAAAAAACATACTGACTACTACCCAAAATACTGACACTACCAACATACTGGGTACTACCAACATACGACACTACCAGACATACAACTACTACCAACTACTGGCTACTACCAGACATACGGGACTACCGACATACTGACTACTACCAGACCTACGGCACTACCAGACATACGGCTACTACCAGACATAAAATGGGTACTACCAGAAACTGGGACTACCAACATACGGGACACCCGACATACTGGCACTACCAGACATACGACTACTACCAGACATACTGGGTAAACCAGACATACTGGGGACTACCAGACATACGGCTACTACCAACAACTGACTACTACCCAAAAATTCTCGCTACTACCAGACATACTGACTACTACCAGACATACTGACTACGCCAACATAAATGCTACTAACCCGACATACTGACTACACCAGACATACTGGCTAAACCAGACATACTGCTACTACCAGACAACGACAAAAACCAACATACTGACTACACCCGACATACTGGTTACTACCAAAAAACTGCTACTACCAGACATACTGGCTAATACCCAAATACTGCTCTACCCAACACCTGGCTACTACCCGACATACTGACAATACCAGACAAACTGGCACACCAACATACTGGGTACTACCCAAAATACGACTACTCCAGAATACTGGGTACTACCAGACAAATGGCTACTACCCGACATACTGACTACTCCAACACACTGACTACACCAACTACTGGCTACACCAGACATATGACACACCAACAACTACACTACCAACATATGGGTACTACCAACATACGGCTACTACCCAAAATACTGGCTACTACCAGACATACTGGCTTTTACCAACATACGGCTACTACCAGACATACTGACCCACAAGACATACGACTACTACCCTCATATGGCTACACCAGACATACTGACTACTACCAACACACTGATACTACCAGACAACTGGGACTACCAGACATACGACTACTACCAGACAACGGGTATACCAAACAACTGGGTACTACCAGATATACGGCTATCCAGACATACTGCTTTTACCAAATCGGCAATACCAACATACTGCTACACCAACAAATGATACTACCATCAACTGGCTACTACCAGACAACTGGGGGTACTCCAACTCTGCCACAACCAGACATAAAAAATGGTTTTCTACCAACATACTAGCAAATACCAACAAACAGGGTCTACCAGACATACTGGCTACTACCAGACATACTGACTCTACCAACATACTGGCTACAACCAGACATACGGCTACTACCCAAAAACTGGGTACTACCAACAATTGACTGTACCAGACAACTGGCTACTACCAAAATACTGACTACTCAAGACATACTGGCACTACCAGACTACTGGGACACCAGACATAAATGCTACTACCAACATACTGGCACTAACAACATACTGGGTGCTACCAACATACTGACACTACCAACATACTGACACTACCAGACATACTGGCTACTCCGACATACTGGCTACTACCAAGAATACTGACTACTACCAGACATACGGCTACTACCAACATACGGTTACACCAACATACTGGCACTAAACCAGACAAACGGGACTACCAACATACTGGGACTACCAGACATACTGACTGCTCCAGACATACGCTACACCAGACAATACTACTACCAACATACTGAATCTAAAAGACAACTGACTACTACCAACATACGGGTACTACCAGACAACGGCTACTACCAGACTACGGCTACTACCAACATCGACACACCAACAACGACACTACCAGACTACGACTGCTACCCAAAAATGGCACTACCAACATACTACACTACCAGACATACTGGCTACTACCAGACATACTGGGTACACCAAAATACTGACACACCAGACAACTGGGTACTACCAGGCAACGGGCTACTACCAGACATACGACACTACCAGAAATACGGGTACACCAACATACGCTACTACCAACATACGGCTACAACCCGACTACTAGCACTCCAGACATTGGCTAAACCAGACATACGGCTACTACCAGACATACCACTACTACCAGACATACGCTATTACCAACTACTGACTACTAAAAAACTACTGACTGCACCAACAACGGCTATACCAACATACTGAAACACCAGACTACGACTGCACCAGCATACGGCTACTACCCGACATACTGACTACACCAGACATACTGACTACTACCAAAATACTACTACTACCAGACATACTGGGTATTACCAACATACTGGCTACTACCAGTCAACTACACTCCACAACTGGCTACTACCAGACATACTGACTACTACAGACATACACTATACCAGACATGCTGGCACTACCCGACATCGACTACTACCAGACATACTGGGTACTACCAGACATACTGGCTACTTCCAGACATACTGACTGCAACCAGACATACTGACTACTACCCCAAAATACTGACACTAAACCCGACAACTGACTGCTACCAACAACTGACTACTACCAGACAACTGCCACCCGACATATGACTACTACCAGACATACTGACTACTACCAGACATAGTGACTACTACCAGACATACACTACTACCAACATACTGCTACACCAGACACACGGCTACTACCAACATACTGGCACTACCCGACATACTGACTACAACCCGACATCGGGTACCACCAGCATACTGACTACACCAACATACGCGTACCAGACATACTGGCTACAAACCCGACATACTGCTACTACCAACTCTGGGGTACTACCAGAAAACGGGGCACCAGACATACTGACTGCCCCACCAACATACACTACTACCGACATACTGCTGCTACCAACATACTGACTGCTACCAAACAACGACTGCTACCAGACATTCTGACTACTACCAAAACCCGACTACTACCAACATCGATACTACCCAAAATACTGGCACTACCAGACAACTGGCTACACCAACACACTGGCTACTACCAACTATTGACTACACCAGAATCTGGGTACTACCAACATCTGGCTTTCTACCCAAAATACTGGTACTACCAACATACTGACTACTACAAGACAACTGGTACTACCCGACATACTGACCTACGAATATGGGTACTACCAGACTTGACACTACAAGACATACTGCTACTCCCCAAAATACGACTACTACCAGACATACTGGCTACTACCAACATACTGAATACTACCAACATACTGGGTACTAAAAGACATACTGACTACACCAGCAACGGGTACTACCCAAAACCCCTGCACTACCAACATACTGGCTACTACCAGACATACGACTCTACCAAACAACTGGCTACTACCCAAAATACTGACTACACCAGACATACTACTAAAACCAGACATACTGAAAACCACCCAAAATACTGGCTACTACCAACATACTAATACTACCACATCCGGCTACTAAAAAAACATACTGGGTACTAAAAAACATACGACTCTACCAACATACGACTCTACCAAAAACTGGCTACTACCAACATACTGATACACCCGACATACTGACTACTACCAACATACGGGCTACTACCCAAAATACTGCCTACCAACATCGACTACTACCCAAAAACTGGCACTACCAGACATACGGCTACTACCAGACAACTGGCTACTACCAGACAACTGGCTACTACCCAAAATACGGCTACTACCAGAATACTGGGTACACCAAAATACGACAAATACCAACATACTGGCACTACCAACATAAAATTTTGACTACCAGAATACTGGCTACTAAACCCAAAATACTGACTACACCAGACATACTCGCTACACGACATACTGACACTACCAGACATACTGACTACGCCCCGACATACGGCACTACCCAAATACTGCACTACCAACATCGGGTAATACCAGACAAACTGGGTAACCAACATACTGACTACTACCAACATCTGAAACCCCCAGACATACTGGGTTCACCCAACAACTGACTACTACCAGACATACTGGGTACTACCAAAACCAAATCTCTACCAGACACACGGGTAACCAGACATACTGACTACTACCAGACAAACTGGCTACACCAACATACTGGCTACTACCAACATACAAATACACCAACATACGCTACACCAACATACTGGCTACTACCAGACATACTGACTACTAAACCGACACACTGACTACTACCAGACATACTTGGGTACTACCAGACATACTGACTACACCAGACTACGAACTACCAACATCTGGCTACACCAGACAACTGGCTACACCCAATATACTGGCTACTACCCAAAATACTGCTTCTACCAACATACTGGCTATACCCAGACTACTGACTAACCAGACATACGACTACTCCATCATACGGGTACTACCCAAAATACTGACTACTACCAGACACACGACTACTACCGAATACTGGGTACTACCGACAACTGACTACTACCCGACTACTGGCACACCAACATACTGGGACACCAGATATACTGGCTACTACCAACAACTGGCTTCACCAGACATACTGGGTACTACCAGACTACTGACTACACCAGACATACTGCTACTACCATCATACTGGGACTACCAACAACTGGGTACTACCCGACTACGCCACAACCCGACATACTGGGTTTCTACCAACATACTAGCAACTACCAGACAACTGGCTACTACCCAGACCCTACTGGCACACCAGACATACTGACTACTACCAAAATACTGGCTACAACCAGACAACGACACTACCAGACATACTGGGGTACTACCAGACATATTTACGCTACCAGACATACGGCTACTACCCAAAATACTGACTATACAAGACATACTGGCTACACCAGAAACGGCTACTACCAACATACTGACTACTACCAACATACGGCCTAACAGACATACTGGCTGCTACCAACAACTGACTAAACCCAACATACTGCTTTA